CCATCTTGATTATTTCCTTTATAAAGGTCTTTTCTCTTATTTCACAGTCTTTAAATTTGGTGATGTGAACTCTAGAAAAAGGTTCACCTCAAACTTCTCCACTGAATAGCTCATTTGCTAAATTATGATCTATTTTTTGGCCGTTATCAACATAGGAAAGGGAATATAGGAGTGTCAGGACAAAAGTGAATATTTTCAGTTCAATTTCGGCGATGTGATGGTGTACCAAGCAATCCACACGATTGAGTTCGCACTTGGTTGTATCTCGCATACTGCTTCTTACCTTCGACTTTGGGCACTTTCACTGGCTCATGCGCGTAAGATTTCTGATTTCTACTACGCTACGTACAGTAGTAACTATCGATCTAACACTTGGAAGAGAACCACATTGACTATCACGAGACTGCTGCGTTGCGAGCAAAACTTTCGCCCCAGCCGGGGCTCGACCCTGGATCACTTGCTTTCCAGGAATTGTGCTACCAGTTACGAATCCTGGGTGGGAGCGAAAGTTTTGCCCATACCTCAGCATACTTATGCTAAATTTCGCAAGCATGAGTTGCGAAGTAGAACTGCAGTTATCCATTAAAACAGTTTACTTCGAATTTTTGAAGTTTTCACTTGCAGGATCTAAAATTCAGTTCACGCTGTACTTTTGTGAAATATGAATTTTTTCGAAAAAGTCATCTATATCGCGAAACTTTATCACAACAAGTATGAACGCTAATATATCAGGCGTTGACTTCGAACGAAGGACCTCATCCTTTAAAACTTCAAAGCTTCCTTTACAGAGCTCTCGGAAGTTCTATGGGACATGTTATTGTCTATCGGCTTGAATATGGGCGGATGGGGCGGATCAGCTGCAATCTTTATTCTCTACTATTTCTTTGGAACACTGTCGATCTCGATTCTGATTCTTATGGAAGGTCTCTCAGCATTCCTTCACGCTCTTCGTCTGCATTGGTGAGCAACTGACGTTTAGAGACCATAAAAGTCTTATTATGAAAAAACGAACTGTTAGAATTGGTGCTTAAAAGTATTGACCCTTTTGAATTGTCCTCGCTATTCCTAAGAAGAAAAGGATCAGCAAGAGTTTCATATGATTTGGGAGCAGAACGAAAAAGTCTCAGAAACACACTCATTCGTTCTCCATCGTGACCCTCTAGTTTTGCACTAAAGCTGAACACAGGGGAATATGCATCTAACTATAACTTCTGCCGAGAGGTTAGCTCAATAGAGAGTACTGGAAAAAATAATTATTGGATAGCCACACCTGAAAAATTGTCACGGGGCATGTACTTCCTGGGAAAGTAGGGCGCTCCCCGCTTTTCGTAATCTCGTCTTAACTGGAAGTAATTAGGTCACCTATTTCACGAGGTCGAGTTCAATTGCGAAGTTCTACACCGGCGGAAACCGGAGTACATTCGAAACCGTTCTATTGTCATCGCGACTTTATACGTGTTGCCGAAGGCTTGGAGCAATAGAAGGATAGCCGGAACGCAGAGATACTATGGACATTTATAGAAAATGCACTAGTTTCGATATAAACATGATAGAAGCCGTACTTTCCAAATTATGATATACAAAACATGAATGTAAATAGAACTTGGTGGTACGGTAGTTTGAGGGAGAGGCGAGTTACTCGACTCACGTAAAAGACTGGAAGTTGCGAGTCAAGCGCTTCTCACTGAAGCCGTGGACGAACCGGCAGGGTTTTGCGCCGGCAAACGTATACCCTCCCTTTCACTCGGAAACAGTCAACGTCGCACCCTTTCGCTAGTTATTCCTTGCACATTTTCACAATTCCCTGCCTATGGAGAAAACATAAAAAGTACATTCCACGATTACCAGAGAAGGTTGTTTGCTCGAAAACCAAAGCAGTTAGAGAAGTGAACCGTCAACGAAGGAAGATGGAAACGTAATGGCTTGAGAGTGAGGGTCCGGTTTTCTGAAAACGCTCAAATGAGAACAGAAGAAAATTTTAAAACGAGGAGCGGCAAAGCTTAATGTCTTCAAGAGAGCACATGTCAAAGGCGAGCGAGCACCGGCACGCGGTGAGCGGCGCAATTGCCGTGCAACGGCTCTGTTCATACTTCTGAAACAGGAGGGAACGGCCAACGAGCAGCTCAATACTCGTCACACGCACCTTCTGAGAGCAGAAGGTCGTACTTTAGGCGCCATTGTGAACCCCTCCGGGTTTAGAGAACTGAGCGCTTAATCCAACGTGGAAATGGCATCAAGTCAGGGAATCAACGACCCCTTTTTTCTCCTCATTCCTTCCTATCCTCTCTCCTCTAGAGCCTGTTCGAATCCGCTGCCAAAATGAAGTCATCTAGACTATTACCCCATGAGCTGGTTTTTTCATTTGTTTCTTCTAGTAAAAACCAAGCTCACGAAAAAAAATAACAGTCAGGGCAACGGCGAGTGCTTTGCGCTTTCTGTGTACGGCAGGGATATTCAGGAATATTCTGGCCAGATGACATCAACGTACGACTTCTGTGCGACAAAAAGTTTTTCTAGTCACGCTATGAGCAAAAAACATTTTTTTTGCATTCCTTCCCGTCCCACCCTACGGTTGCATTTCCAAACGTCATAGTCCATCTATGCCGTATTCAAGTTTTAACAACGTCTAAGTGGAGCGCATAGCATACACATTCGTGTCTTGTTTGACGAAGGTGTCAAGGATGATTATGATGATAAAAAATTGGTTAAAAATTTGCTGCTCTTCAAATCTGAATAGTCCCACATGTGAAGCGTTCCAAGGTCGACCGCGACCTAGACCACGTAGTAAAAGCTCTTCATCTTCAGACAGAATAGAAGGAACATTTGTTGTAGTAATAGTGTAGCATTTACTCACACTAGAAATAGTGTAGCGATTCCTTTATTCCAGTACAATAGTACAGTAATTTCCTTGTTCTAGCCATGTATGGGTAATGTATGGATAAAAACGCTAAAGTTGCTAGGAACAGTATTGACAAAGATAAAAAAAATGCAGACGTAGATAATTGAAAGTTTTTCTGTGCCAAACAGGTTTTTTATAGTGAAGCGTTTATTGCCGACGTTTCGACTAGCTCGTCGTCTTCAAGGCCTGAAGGAAGCATTTCGAAGATTCTCAAATGAAACTTATCCTACTTAACGCTCACTCACTCCTAACTAGTAGCAACTCGAGCAAAAGGTGCAATCCGAGTTGAATCCAACATTGGTCACTCACCTTGGCTTCACCACCACCCTTAGCCTCTCCGCGCCAGAATATAGTAAGAAATGAGACTGACCGATCACTGCACTCCCACCATGGTGCGTACGTGCAGGTTGTCACGTTCATTTAATCAGAGCTCACATAGTGGAATGTATGGCAAGAAATCATCGGTTATGGAGATGCATTCATTCCTGTTATTCATATATGGATTACGAAGTTTTATCCAGAAAGCTTCGAGAGTTTTCCTAGCACCGATGTCATTTTCGTAGGCCAATATCGTACATTTGACGTCGAAATCGGAGCCATCATGACTTTCCCTTTTGTGTTTACCGAGCGGTGTAGCCAAGTTTTCTCTCCGTTTGCCGGCAAGATGTTCTTTCACACGCACGCCTAATTGCCTTCCAGTTTCTCCAATATATAAGGCACTACAAGTTAGGCACTGAAGCTGATAAACCACAGATCTCTGTGCACAGTCTCCGACTTTCCCATATGGGCAGATTACGCAATTTTCTACGACGCAGGTTCGGTCGTAGAGGCGATTTCTGACTAGCTGGTGTTTGATGTTCTCTCTTGGTGTATTAACCAAAAAGACTACATTAGTCAGATCGGCTCTCCTGATGCATTGCTGTATAAAGCATGCCCATATGGGAAAGTCGGAGACTGTGCACAGAGATCTGTGGTTTATCAGCTTCAGTGCCTAACTTGTAGTGCCTTATATATTGGAGAAACTGGAAGGCAATTAGGCGTGCGTGTGAAAGAACATCTTGCCGGCAAACGGAGAGAAAACTTGGCTACACCGCTCGGTAAACACAAAAGGGAAAGTCATGATGGCTCCGATTTCGACGTCAAATGTACGATATTGGCCTACGAAAATGACATCGGTGCTAGGAAAACTCTCGAAGCTTTCTGGATAAAACTTCGTAATCCATATATGAATAACAGGAATGAATGCATCTCCCATAACCGATGATTTCTTGCCATACATTCCACTATGTGAGCTCTGATTAAATGAACGTGACAACCTGCACGTACGCACCATGGTGGGAGTGCAGTGATCGGTCAGTCTCATTTCTTACTATATTCTGGCGCGGAGAGGCTAAGGGTGGTGGTGAAGCCAAGGTGAGTGACCAATGTTGGATTCAACTCGGATTGCACCTTTTGCTCGAGTTGCTACTAGTTAGGAGTGAGTGAGCGTTAAGTAGGATAAGTTTCATTTGAGAATCTTCGAAATGCTTCCTTCAGGCCTTGAAGACGACGAGCTAGTCGAAACGTCGGCAATAAACGCTTCACTATAAAAAACCTGTTTGGCACAGAAATACTTTCAATTATCTGGACATGCCAAGGTTTCAAGAAAGGCGAACTTGGACATTGCTAACCACACCGTAGAATTCTGATCGTCCCGTGAGCTATGGCCGTTTGTGTCAAGGCTAATCATTGAGCACTCTGTTCGAATGAAACATATGCTGAGAAGTCATCCTAATAACTTTCAATACAATAGAAACAATTATAACAATTCCTTCCAAAAGGTTTCGGATAACGATGTCGGTCATATGCAGTTTTCAGCTCAGAGTCTCAGAACAAGGCAGGTCCGTGCTGGAGCATAGACCAAAAGGTGATTTCGGCGACCATTGTAGCCTTCGGGGAAGGTGTGATGCACGGAACCGAGCTGCAAACGGTTGTGACCACGCGAATCGCTTCTCGCTAATTTCAACACCATCTTGTAGCTGAAACAAGGAGAGTCAATATCGATCAATGCGCAATGATACGCCTTTGGAATACGCCACGCATCCAATTCAATCTAGTTCGTAGTGCCTGTTGAATGTGCAATTGGCGCGCATAGTA